AAAAAAAAAAAAAGAAAAAATTGCTGATATCGAGATAACCGCATTATCTTGTTCATCTCGATGTTTTCCCGGAAACATCGACCGATCGCGTAACAAACGATCGAGACGTGAGACGAAGGAAAAAGGAAATAAAGTTAGCAACGAAGCGATGAAACTCGATTGTCAGTTGCAATTGCACGGACGATGTTAAGTCACACGGACGACGATTGGTGTGAAAAAAAATTCTAGGAATATTCTTCGTCGCTTTTGAGGATCTGCGTTGATTAAGCGAGGATCGACAGAGGAGATCGAGCGAACGGAAACGTTTCAAGGAGAAGCGGTTTCGAGACGAATTCCAGTCACGGTCGAGCGTTTGTGATCGACTGCCACGAATGATTAGGTACGTACAAGGTTTGGCTGCGCGTGATGAGAATTTGCATTGTTTTTGAGCGTAATTGAGAAACAGGAGTCTCGAGTCTCGAGTGAATTGCGAAAGGATTGAGAGAGGAACTAAAGTAGAATTTATATCGTCGATTTCTTTCAGTATTAGGGAGGCACGTTGATCCTTCTTGTCGATCTGCAATTTTAGGAGATGATTTTGGATTCTACAAAAGAGAAGTATTTACAATATTATGATAAAATGAAATTGTATAGAAAATAATATATATATATATATAATTACAATTATTGATTATAATACATCAATTTCTATTTTTATTTATATATTTCAATTTTTAATTTATTATATATAATTATTCACTAGCTATACTATTAATTAATAAATCAATAATTATAATTATATACACAGTTGTGTACATATTAAAATATTATACAGATTATAACTACCATATAAATCATATTAAATAAAAAGTATTATATATTAATATATAATGACAATTTAATTTAATATATTATATATTAATATAGTAAATAAATATAATAAAATATTATATAATAATATATAATATATATATATAAAATATAATTACAATTATTGATTATAGTACATCAATTTTTATTTTTATTTATATATTTTAATTTTTAATTTATTATATTATATATAATTATTTACTAGCTATACTTTTTAATTAATAAATCAATAATTACTATTATATACATAGTTGTTTACATATTAAAATATTATACAGATTATAACTATTATATAAATCTTATTAAATAAAAAGTGTTATATATTAATATATAATAACATAATGTAATTTAATATATTATATATATTAATACAGTAAATAAATATAATAAAATATTTCATAATAATATATAATATAAAATAATATAAAATATCACATTATATTATACATAATATTACTAATATATATAATATATTATTAATATTATTGTTATAAAATATTATATATAATGTTATATAATATAATAAATAAATATAATGAAATGTATAATATTTTATATTATATATTATTATATAATATTTTATTGTATTTATTTACTATACTAATATATGATATATTAAATTAAATTATATTATCAATTAATAATATACCAACATATTATGTTTTAATATATCATTAATAATTTAATATATTACACATTACATACATGTATATTGTCATTGTATTACGTATATTGGCATTGTATTGCGTACGATACGATGACGGTACACTATAATTATATACAAAATCGCGTGAAATAAACAAACAACTACAGACAATAGCGACGTCGAACAGAAAAACGTTATACGTGAGCGTGTTCGTCACGTTGCGGGACAATCGACATCGTGGCAACAAATTTGCCGCACGCGCGCGCAGTTAAAAATTCCTTCTCGCCTCGATTATCCTGTCACTCGGCCGACAGGCCGCGGCGATCAAACCGCTCTCTCCGAAATCGGTCGGCCGAAATGTAAAAACGTGTTGCCCCGGCGCAAAGTTGCAACGATGAAAGGGGTAATAGCCGGCAGCGATGGCGAGAATTTTGTTTTGCGGCATTCGAGCCGCGGTTGCGGTTGATTAAATTTCAAGGGGAACTTTTTCCTATCCCCCCCCGTTCATCTCTGCGTGCGGAGTTGCGCGCGTTAAATGAAAATTTCTCGCTCGTTAAGGTCAAATAATTGCGGCGAAACGACGAAATCATCGCATCATTGTTCCCGTTGAAGCATGAAAATTCATTCTTCGACGAGAAATCTCTCTATTTCTCTCTCTCTATCTTAGTCTGCTCGAGGAAAAGAGGACGCAACTGCGGAATTTTGTATAAATAAACACTCGTTTGACTTGCAGTCTGCCAGCTGGTTAGTTTATCCCCGATTGTTGATTATCACCGATATTGTTCTTCGGTTCCGCCTGTCGTTTCGCGTTGGAATATTCAACTCTCGTCCATCTCTCAATCGTCTTGCTCGAGGTCCACTCCTCCCTTTATCGAACACTGTGTCCCTGTCTCCATAAATTTCTTGCGCCATGCACGAATTAACGGACCGGACGGTGAATCTCTTCGATACTTAGCTCTTAAGTTTCGCTCAAGTTCTGCTGATCCGATTTGGCTTCAATAAACCACGATACACACGCTGTGCCTTCTCTTCAGGAGTAGCCATTTTTGCAAGTAGTTTCATTTAACATCTATCTTACTCATCAACAGGCTAGAAACCTTGATAACCACTGAGTACACGGAGCAAATCAAAACGAAGACGTCTCGTCGATTGACTTTCTAAATAAATTTTTGAAATTGTAAAGAGACTTTATGGACTTGCGTCAAAGACATCGTGGGACTATCGCTAATCTAAAGCAGAGGATCACTGATGCCATTGATGTTCTTCTTGTGCAACTAATGGCGCCCAAGAGGAAAAAACTTAAGTATATACGTCTCGTTTTGTGACAATTTCTACTTATCTCTCTTCTCATCTGCCTTTGTAATGAATTTTTCAATACGTAAGGAGACTTTATGGACACCACGTGCAATTTTTCGCGATGTAAATCGGCTTCCTCCTTGGCCACGCCGTAATTGAATGCTCGTAGCTGCATCTGATTACCGTGGTCGGGAGCGTGTACAACACTTCGAGGACACGCGCGCGTATATATACGTCAGCGGAGCGACGTGCATGCACGACGTCGGATGGCCCGCAGCGAGATCCGTTTAGCCATTCATTGTCCCGCACGAGAACGCCCCGCGGAAATGTGAAACCCGCCATCGATTCCGATCCGAACGCAAATTTCTTGCACACGGATCGATGCGTCCCGATTACTTTAGACAGACGCGAGGAATTTTGATGAATTTAGAAAAATTTCCGACTGGGAAATAGCTCGAGGACGAGTATTTCAATTTTTGGTTTTGTAATTGGAATCGTGGTCTAATTGTCGAGTTGAGTAATTTTGGAACAATTTCTTTTATTTTAGTGTCTCCAAGTAAGTAAACCCTGTTTCTCTTTTGTATCACTGTGTCGAGGATACGATTAAAAGAAATAGAGCGGCGAAATTAAATATTATTGGACGTTTAAAGAATAGTCAATATTATTGGAATTTCGAAACAACTGTGAAAGAAAGAGAAATTTCCATCTGTATAGGAGCTTGAAAATAGCAGACGATGATGATTAAATCGAGCTGCGTACATACGTGTAAATGGATCTTGGATTAATTCAGGTGAAGAGGAGATGATGATTTTAAGAGTCTTAGTGATTATTAGAAACTATTTTTAAATTTATCAAAATTCTCCAAAGTCCTATCTGTCCATGCTTAAAAATACAATAAATATTTCTCAGGAATATTTCACCCAAAAAAAAAAAAAAAAAAAATGTGAAAGATGCTCCGAAACTTTCGTTATCGTTGAAACATAATTTTATTGGACGTGTATTGAATTTCGTGATTCAAGTCCTCGACAGTTAAACTTACGTGAATTCATATGAAGATCCGCTGTCTAATCTATAGTTAAAAGTACGATGTTTCTCGGGAAGTATAAAAAGTCTATTTTTAAAATTATAAAAAAATTATAAAAAAAAAAAAAAGAAGTGAAAGGTGCGTCGAAATTTTTGAGTGTTATTATTGAAACATGACTGTATCGATCTTTCAGATATACGATATATAAATTTCCGTGATTCAGTCGTCACGATAGAGACGAGGGAAAGGATTGCCCGAGATGCGACGTAATTTACGAAGCAAATTAGCAAAACATCCAAGCTTTAGTATCTCGAGGGAGCGAAATTTCCATCAGTCTGTCAACGCTCTTATGGCTTCCATTGTACGCATTCCGGACAAGAAGCAACGGCATTCAGGTAAACGCACGTGTCGCACAGTGAAACAGCACGTTGTCAGCAAGAATTCCCTGCCTTTTAACGCAAAATGAGCGTAAAAGTGCAGAGCTGAGTAATATTTCTAGTGAAAATATTTTAAATATTATATTAAACAATGGATTCTTCACAATTCAAATAAAATGGTATTTCAAATAGGACATAAAATTTCAGTAAATAAAACATTTTATTCCGTTAATCAAAGTATGAAAAATAAATATATTACGTGAAATGAAATACTTTTTTATTTTAATAACATAAAGCATAAAATAGAACACTTTTCATAGTTCTGAACCTGAAAATAAATTGCGAAAATGATCAATGTAACGTAAAACGATATAACGTAAGAGATCACGTTATTTGCAAACGAAATTTATTTTCTTTTTAAATGCATGCTATTCGCGTGTAACAATGTGCATCGCTCAAAATTTTTGATCATTTAAACTACTCCTTCGTGGACGAAGAATTAAGTCAGCGAAACTAAACAGTCATTCAACTAGAGCGGAAGACGGAACTGTATTTTATTTTAAATTATATTTTTATATTATAAAATTGTTATTATTATATTTTAAAATATATATATTATAAAATTAAATAATTTTAAAAATATATATATTATAAAATTAAATAATTAAAAAAATATGTATTATAAAATTAAATAATTTTATATATTATAAAATTATTATTATTGTTATATTTAGGTGTATTATATTTTAAAAATAATTGTCTCGTGTATTTATATTTCGTAATACTTTGAATTTGCAAATCCTTATCGCCTGAATGTTGCAGTAGTTATTGCACTAACTCTGCAATGTTGCCATCATTGTTTTCAATATCATCACTGTGTGTTTCTATAAAGAAAAAGAAATGGCACAAATATTTTCAGCGTTTCTCAAATAAAATACCAATTGAAATATTATCTCAGAAATTTTTTGCAACAAATAAAATATTTTATTCTGAAATATACATGCGTAATATAAAATGAAATACCTGTTTACTATTTGCCATTTAAAATAGTATTTTCGGCGTCTTTGACACTGACGTAAATCTGTTTCTCTAACAAAAATATTTAAAGCTCGTTTAATTTTTTTTTTTTTATACGAATGAAATTAATCCTGACGAAGGATTTCCTTATTATTATTATTATTATTATTATTATCATTGAAATAATTTTCATCGCATGTGGAGTAATGATTAATGTATGGAATAATGTATGAAACTGATGTTCTTGACACGTGAGCGCAGTAAAAATATTAAATTGCAATGGACAACAGCGTAAAAAATTAATCATTGAAAATTCCACGTAATGCAATTTATGATTCGTGATTTGAAATGTTGAACACAGCTACATCGATGGCTTCCAGATTCCATGAATCATTTTCAGGATCGTGCTCGCGATTAGTATTCCCCGGAATTGTTCACATTTCACATAAATTTAATTACCTTTCGGTAATTTCGTTATTATTAATTTTTTAAATTATTGTTTTCACCAATTCGTTCAATTTCATTTCTTCATGCACGAGTCATAATTTTGTTTCCACAATGTTGTTGCCTTTCGGATGACATTTCCTGGACTTTCTAAACAATCGTGGGTACACTTGGTACAACGTTTGTTTTATTTCTTTTCCTAAATGAAACTCTTAAAAGACACACGACCGATTTATTTTACAAAATCGTCTGTTCTTTCTTTTTTTTATTCGATAAAAATTCTCAGTTGAACTCTCCAGTCCTACAAAAATTCTCAGTTGAACTCCCCAGAGTTGAGTTTGATCTACGTTATAAAATATCATACGATCGATGATTAACTGGTTCGTTCAATTCCTCACTCAAAATCAAACTTTCAAAATCAACTTCCTAGTAATTTCAAGCGTTCGAACTGTTGAAAAGTGTCGCAAACAAACAATCTGAAGACCGATTATTATCTACAAAGAAAAAAAAAAAAAAAAAAAAAGAATACAAAGTTTACATAAATATTTATATAAATTCAAAATTATTTACATAAGTATTTACATTAATAAATTCAATGCTGCCTTCAAACACACAAAAAATAGTATAAACCTTCGGTTTAAAGAAAAGCGAGAGTTACACGTGGGAAAGTATCATTCAAAAGTACCATTCATTCCATACCGGGAGTACAGAGGCACGTTTGTTTATTACAAAGAATCGGCGATAAAAAGAAGAATAATCACGGATTGAGTAACAGGATCGGCGATTATTAACGCGGGCGTAGACAGCCTCGATCCGCTGAAATATTCATCGTCGCGTACATCGCGATAACATCACGACGAAAGTCTGTGCACACCCCACCTCGAGTTCGTTAAATAATTCATTGTCTCATAATATTCGTATCGAGCGTCGTGCGCACATATCGCATTAACCGGGCTGATGTTTATTCAAACCTCGCGGCGAGTAACTACTCGCGTTTCCTCCAACCGCTTTCACGGAGAAGAAACAATCGTCCATTCTTCGAACGCGCGCTCGTTTTCGCGTATTCGTGCTCGATCTGCGTGCATCGATCCCCCATTAGGCGGCCTCGATAAATCCCCATCAGGTTACAGGATGATTCAGAATCACGGCAAGACACTAACTGCAAGTGCAACTACCAAAATGGCCAAAATGACCAAATTTTTTAGAAATTTTTTAGCAAATTTTATTCTACTGCGAAGCAACTTACGATGTTTTTTTTTTTTTTTTTTTTTAGAGAGATTCGATTGACTTTTGTAAACGTTCGTGTTTATCGTCGTATTGTCACTAAGTCTTTCCCTGTTAATTGCGTTTTAATTTCTTTGACTCAATCTTTATAGTTCTCTGCGATAGTATTTAAGGGTTGTTTCGTAGCTTTGAATGGTGCAGAGTGAGAAAAATTGAGCATATATAGAAAAATATATAATATATATATTTATATATTATAAATATAAAGTATTATTAAGTTATATACTTAATATAAATAATATAGACATAAATATATATATATATATTAAGTATAAATATTATATTGTTTGGTCCTTAATAAGTTAACATACACGAATGATATATTTTAAAGAATAACAAGGGGAATATGTTAGAAATTAATTAACCGTTTAATTAATTATTACTCGAATAAAAAATAAACTCCTCTTCAATTTTAATATTTTCCTGCTACTGGTATTGGCACCTCAAAATTTCCGAATAGAATAAAATATGCATTGATACGATGACGTCACCACTCCTTTTCCAGTCGAAAATAAAGAAACTAAGCCGCTAAATAACGTGACACAGTTTTTCTCGTTTATAGAAAACTGAAGCTTCCGACGCCCGATATTTCATTTCACTTTGTTTCATCCGAGTTAAACACAAGGATGAAAAAACGAGAGACACGTGATTTAATCTTGACAATAGAAAATAAAACAAAGTTATCTCCTGCAAACAGCATGATTGGCCCTGGTCTAAAAACCTTCTCATTAGAAAATCACACTTCTCGAATTTTCTATTTTAATCCATTAAGCACCGAGCAGTAATCTATCACAGTATTAAAAAGTTTAATCTATCAAGTACTTCATACAATTATACTATCTCCAAGATTGAAACAGGAATTCGAAAAGAAAAAACAGTCGAGCAGATCCACGGTACAAAAAGAAATCGAATTTGCATGATCCAAATTGATTATAAAAAAAAAAAAAATAATAATAGAATAAAATTGAATGTAAAAGAAAAAATTGAACGCAACTGAACGCAGAAATTGACAAATGGGTTGATCGACCGGTGTTTTTGAAGCGCGTTCTATTTCTACCCTCCCATTTTTTTTTTTTTTCTTTTGCCGAGACGTGACAGATCGGATAAATGGAAGGAGGAGACGAGAAACGATCGCGAAGCCCTCAGTGTTTCCGTTTTATTTGCAGGTGGATTCGTCGGGGATCGCGCTTACGTTCGATGCATGATATTTATCGTGATCCCCGGAAATACAACGCTCGCGTTGAAAGATTCACCGCGTCGAGATCGTTCCGTCTTTAATCGATTCCGACATACATTGCCGCGACATCGATCGACAGGGAGACGAATGCCGTCAACAATAATGGAATTAACGTTGGCAAAAATAATCACAGCAGCCTGCTTCTATTTAAGAGATTCCGCCCTGAATTTTTCATTGCCTGTCGTAGTGAAACGCGGCGACGTTTCATGATTATTGCACGCGGTGAATGTCTACGTTTTTGAATGAAACTCTGACGGTTTCAAATGACGAATTCATTCGGGAAACGTCTCGCTTCGATTATCTATTTCGATCACGCGAATTTAACGATTTATACACCCGGTTTTCGTGAATTAAACCGATTATTAAATTAATTTCATTTTTATTGCCAGGTGGAAGTGATTGTTTGCAAAATATTTATCAGATAGATCATTAGAATAGAAATTTTATTTTTGTTACTAAATACGTGCTTTTATTTCTAAAACTATAAATTGAACGTGGACAGTGTTCTAAGATTTTATAAAATCTTCATCGAATTTTTATCGAATTTTGAAAATTTAGAAATAATGAGAAATTTGGTAAAATTTTTGTAGTCACGTAAAAAACCACTGGCTGATACTTCATATCCGAATCCAATTAATCCAATTGGTCTTAAATAATTGTTGCAGTTTTTTGTTTCATTTATCTGTGACACGAATTCTTTGAATTATATTTATGAATTATATGTGTTTAAACGAACGATTGATAAATAAAAAAAAAAAAGAATGAATAAATAAAAATTAACGAATGACGCGAAAACAATATTTTATATGACATTTAATACCATATACTATATCGCATTTAACAAAGCAGAAGAACAAATTGAACGTGAAATTTCGGTACAAACTCTTATTGAATTAAAAAATTTAATAAAAATAATTTAATAAAATTTTTATGGCCACGTAACAAGTGATATCAATTATTTTAACGTGTTTGAACTAAAGAAACAAAATTAAATTAACACGCGAGCACTGTGAAAAAATATAAAAAGCAGTGTGCAAACACTTTTTCGTAGTCACGATCAGATGTGATATCGATCCTTAAGCAAATAATTTCAAATTGACCGATCCGAAGCTCGCCTTGGAGTAATTTAACCATAGCATGCAGCTGGATAATTGTAGAGTAATTAAGGGAGATCAGACGCTGCTCACTCGCAAAATTTCAGATCGCTCGCGCTCCCAGAACAAGCAAGAGACCGATGAAAATTGCTCCTGGAATCGATCCGCAAAGTATTTGTGTTTCCTGGCCGGAACAAACGGCACCTTTCGCTGCCGAACCTTCAAATGGTCTAATTAAACGCGAACGGGGCTTCTCTTTGCCAGGAATTCCACGGTTAAAACGGCACGGAACTGAACAAACGTCGATACAAACGTCTGCGAACGAACTTGGTTACCATTATTCAAATGATGGCTTTCCCTCTGCTAAAATATACTTGGATAATTAAACTGAGGATCTTATTTCTCTTTCTTATCAAAAAGAAAGATTTTATGTTTTATTTTCTATGTTCTTTTTTGGTTGATTGTTGAATGAAATGTTTGAGACTGCAGTAAGTTACCATTATTTAAATGATGACTTTTTCTCTGCAAAAATAGACCTACTTGGATGGTATATCAAACTGAAGATCTTATTTCTCTTTCTTAACAAAAAGAAAGGTTTTATATTTCTATCTTCTTTTTTGGTTTGTTCTCCGTTCATTGTTAATGAAACGTTTGAGACTGAAGTACCATTATTGAAATGATGATTCTTCCTCTGAAAAAATAGACCTACTTGGATAGTATATCAAATTGAAGATCTTATTTCTCTTTCTTAGCAAAAAGAAAGGTTTTATATTTTATTTTCTATCGTTTTCTTGGTTTGTTCTCCGTTGATTGTTAATGAAACGTTTGAGACTGAAGTACCATTATTGAAATGATGATTCTTCCTCTGCAAAAACATACTTGGATAGTATATCAAACTGAAGATCTTATTTCTCTTTCTTAGCAAAAAGAAAGGTTTTATGTTTTATTTTCTATCCTTTTCTTGGTTTGTTCTCCGTTGATTGTTGAATGAAACGTTTGAGGCTGAAGTAAGTTACCATTATTTAAATAACGATCTTTTGTCTGCAACGAATACTGAGAATATCTTGTTTCTTTTTTAGGGAAAATGTTATATTTTATTCTATATCTTTCCTTCCGTTTGTTCTCCATTGATCAATATAAATAGAATATCTGAGTAGTGTCAGAACAAGTTATTAAAGTTGTTATTTAAAATTTAAATAATGATGCTTTGGTCCGCATAGAATATTGGTTTAAATATCTCAATTCTTCTATTATTACTAGTTTATGTTCTATACTCTACAATATACTCTATTCTATATAATTCCTGTAAAATCAGTAAATTACTATTCTAACAAATATCACCAAATGTTACACAGAATAATTTTTAATTCTGTTAACTCTTCGATCCAAAAGAATGTCTCAAGTCTATTTATACTAATTTATTCTAATGATTATTATTCCAATTTTTATTCTAATAATAATTTTCGTTTGCAATAATAACGAGACAAGTGATAATAGTTTTTATTATTACTCTAGTAATAATTCTAAATATAATATAAAAATTGTCGATATATGCTTGACCATAAATTTTCAATCGAGAAATTTCTTTGTCGTTTCGTTACATTTCTTTTTCTACTCTCTTTTTCATTGTGTCTCGCAAATAAATGGCTTTTAAAAGAGAGAGAGAGAGAGAGAGAGAGAGAAGAGCGGCACGTTTCTTTTGGAAACGTGACGAAATAAAAGTCGCTTTCCATGGTCCCAGGCCGTTTGTTCCGAGCGAAATATTCGTGGCTACTCGCTGGTTGCACCAACCTTGAGTGCATATGAAATTCAAATGAAATATTTATGCGTTCGGGAAAACAGCCTCTGCCGCGAGAATGTGTTCACGGTGCTGGCATTCTAATTCAAAGGAGATACCCGACCATCTGGAAACGTGATAACACAAAGAAATACACTCGGCGTTGGTACAATCGAACGTAAACATTCGTGTCATGCTTTGCATGTGTAATGAACCGCAAATTGTAAATCATTTTCTCCTTCTATTTCTTTTTACTTGTAACTGAACCAATGACGATGAAAAATTGTCAGCAGTTTATAACTTCGTAAAAAAAAAAAAGAAACGCTTGGTCTCGTATTAAAGCTTGAAACTTCTATTTTCAGAGTCTTGAGTTCGTTTCTTCTGAAAATGATTCGACAGTGTCATGAAAATTGTAAAACTGTCTTTGAAAGGAATAAATTTTCTTCCACCTTCGTCTCGGAGGCTGAAATCTCCTTTTTATAAATGTAGCAAGTTTTAAGAGCTTCTTCGTTCGGCGATGTTTGAATTTTTATAATTTTCGGAGAAAAATAATAAATTTTACGAAATATTCTCACTCGTTTTCTCACTCGTTGGACGATGGCAAAATTGCCCTTGTAGAAACAATGAAAGTGGAAATCTTCAACTTTGAAACGAACTGATTGTTGTACAATTTTCTTCCTTCGTTTAAAATTAATCTGAATTTATTTTAAAGTTTAAAAATGATCAATCTATCATGGTTATTGATACAGTTGTGCTCCTCGCTGTCAATTATCAAATTACGAATTTAAGGAACAAAATTTAAGAAACCTAGAATCCCTAATTATTAGATTCGAACACACATCTATCTCTCTCTCTCTCTCTCTCTCTGACGAAGAAACACAGATATAAATGAACAACCACGATCGGTCACCGTTGTTTCGTTCTATTTATCTTCGTTACTCTAGCGAGCTGCTAGAATTGTTGGAAAGAGAACCGATCGATCAAGCGATGCGCGTCGTCTCGCCCCCTCGTGAGGAGAGAGGTGGTGGAAAACGCAAATAACGTGTCAGCGATTAGTGGATTATCACCGCTACAAGATCATTAACGAAAGCGACACGCATCAACCCCGGGTGTTCTTCGTTCCATTGCCCGCCATTCGCGTTTTCGTTCTTCATCAGTGCTCGCGTATAATTATCACTAATTACACGTCTCGAGCCCCGGCAGCTTTCGCTGCTCTTTCTCTCTCTTTCTCTCTCTCTCTCTCTGTTTAATAATCGTGAATTACGAGTAATAAATTAAAGCTCCGCTTAATTACGGGCTCGCGTGTCACGACGCCTGGCCACCGTGTACGAAACAATTTCCTCGCCGCGACGCGGGACAAGACGAGGAGAGAGGGGTAGTTGCGGATACGCGGAGCGGAAGTAGAGAGGGTGAAATGAGTGAAAAGTGGACGAAAGTGGACGAAGACGCGGGGCGGGAGCGTTCTCGCGTGAAAGGGTGTACCTCGGCGACGAAATAAAGGGTGCATCAACCCGCGTTGAAACATTGTTTGCGTGGGGCTTTTTCCATCCGCGGCGAGGATTAATGCGCGAGCCAAGTAGCTCGGAGAGAAAAGGTGGACCGTCCAGGTGACAAATCGCCCGTTGCTCCCCGCCGTTCATTCAACGGGACGCGCCTTTTCCCCTGCGGGGAAAGGTTTTCCTACAGAAGAAATTGTCTGCGGGTATTAACGGGAATGACGTAACGCCCGGTTGCAGCGGTGAAATCCGTGGGGAGCGGAGGAACGCCCGGAACCGGAGAAAGACGTATTTGCTGATAATTGGGACGATTGATGCCTCGTTCGAGAGCAGAAAGGTACGCAAGTTATTCCGGAGAGAGTCTCTGAAACTCAAAAACAGGAAAAAAATTGTGTGACAAATTTTACGGAGATCGTTGTAAAGGGAGGACTTCGATCTTCTGAGCTAAAGTTTCGGGAGATTTTCTGAGTCATTCTACTTATTTTGTCGTTAGATATTTGACCATTTTGTTCAACTTTACTGTTGGAACGTTTGGAATAGAGAATAGGAGAGAAAATGATAAGAACAATCATTATCAGTGACTGATAATTTTATGTTTAAAATAGCCGAAAATAAGTACGCGTTAATTTATATACTCTAAAATACGCAACACTCACTACGTGGTCCAGTGGAACCATGCCGGAGGTTGCTGATGAATGACCACTTTTGTACAGCTCTTGTAGCTGCATTAGGCGATCCAGGAACAGGAACAGCCTTCCACGAATCCAGTGGAAGAATTTGGGCATTTTGTGAACGAAACTCTATTTCAAGAAACGCGATCATTCATTGCCGCAACGATAATTGTAAGAGAAAGATTAACTGAAACAATGTCGCAACGCTAACTCTAAAATTAAATTCAATGAACAAAATTGTACGAACAGAAAGCTGTTTCAAATATTCTAAACTGACTCTATAATTTAATTTACGACACTAAGGCAATGACTCTATAATTTAATTTACAACACTAAGGCAACTATAACAATTCAAATTTACAACACTAAGGCAGCTATGACAATTCAAATATAATTTAATTTACAACACTAAGGCAATGACTCTATAATTTAATTTACAACACTAAGGCAACTGTAACAATTCAAAGTTACAACACTAAGGCAACTATAACAATTCAAATTTACAACACTAAGGCAACTATAACAATTCAAATATAATTTAATTTACAACACTAAGGCAATGACTCTATAATTTAATTTACAACACTAAGGCAACTGTAGCAATTCTAACTTAACTATAAAATAATTATAATATTTTAACTATAAAATTATTATTTTAATTATTACATACACACATACTTAATAAATTATTGTTGAATTTAATACTAGAATTGTTAAGAATTATGTAGCATGAAGTTAGGAAACCAACAAATAAGTAGAACATGTTATAACAGAAGTGTGTGTATAAAGACATACAATAAAATACGTATATATATATATATATATATATATATATATATATATATATACAACAATGAGTTAGTCAGTTACAAGGTTAGAATATTTGTACTGATTAGAATTAAAATTTAACTTTGATATAAAATTATGTATGAATTTGGTATGAAATTATAAATGGCATAGCATAGTATGTTCTGTTTAAATGTTTATATGCTATTGTTTCTTTAATTGTTAAAAATTATATATAATAATTATTTGGTTAAATAATTTTACCTTGAGTTGAAGCCAAAAATGCACGTCTCATCTTAAAAATACATAATACATACACAAATCTAACAACTGATTTAAATTTTTACCTGAGTGAACTTCTGAATGACACTTCTTTTCTGGACACTTGTTTTTTTACAGATGATGTGTACTTCTTTCCGCCATTATAGGTCTGCTCTCCCGCAGAAAAATCGATCGTGAGAAATATCGATTACGTTCGAGAATCATAGGAAGTGTATTGCGTATTTCACCGTTGAGGCGCTGTAATCGCTCGTTTCACACGGAATGATTACTTGGAATAAACCTACGAAATGACTAAATTATTATTGAATTGAATATTGGAATTGTTAAGAATTACTTAGTATTAAGTTAAAGAATCAAAAAAATGAGTAGAAAATGTTACAATAGAAAGCAAAAGCATATTATATGTATGTATATAACGAAAAGTTAGCCAAATTACAAGGTTATAATATTTTTATTGGTTAGAATTGAAGTTAAATTTTGATATAAAATAAAATAACTTTTAGCGCGGTATACTCCGTTTAATAATTTATTAAATAGCTATTATTCCTTTAGTTGTTGAAAATTGTATGTAATAAAAAAACCTGGCGGATTTCGATGAATTGGAGCCGGGAATAAAAGTTTTTATCTTAAAAATTCACAACGCAAAACATAAATCTACCAGCTCTTGATTTAAACTTTTATTTGAGAACTTCTGGATAATTCTTCTGGACAATACTTCCTTCTTTACTGATGATGTGTACTTCTTTCCGCCATTGAAGGTCTGCTGTTCCACTTAAAAATCGATCATGAGAAATATCGATTACGTTCGAGAATCGCAGGAAGTGTATTGCGTATTCACCGTATAGTGGCGCTGTAATCTTTAATTAATTTAAATCCAATACGCGCGCATTTCGAACGAAATGTTAATTTGAAATAAAAAAATGAAAACTTTGATCTAAATCAAATACACAAAATTCACGAGAAATTGAAAAAAAAAAAAACGAAAACATTCATACATTAGATAAAAAATTGTCAGTACTTTAAACTGTTACAATTTCATAATAAAAAAAAAAATTGTAGAACAATTAACTTGATTTTATTTTAATGCACGAAGTGTAATCTCTCTACTTTAATAATCCTGAGTTCATTCCTTTCAAAGATATCTCGTTCGACGATCTAACTGTGGCTGTAATTATTAAAAAGGAAAGATTTACGAACGCGTATCGACAACGAGTAATGGAAATTTCACTAACCTCGATTAGTCGATCGTCCAATTGTTTCAAACAGCGTGAAATACTGTTCGTACGATCTTTTGGGATCGCTGACACGTTGGGAATGTAAGTATCGCAGAAAGTAGATTCTTGCCGACGATATAAATAACCCGATTGATCTTAATCCTTTACGGTCCAAATCGCAATTAGCTTTTCGTCCACGTTGTCAAAGGTGTGTAGGCAGAGAGCGATCTATTTTAATCTATCAATCCTTCTGCCTCGGACGAGTTACACGTGTACGACCACGATGCTCACTGATAACCTCTCTCGCTCGAATATGTTACGCGATTCGAGAAGGGGTATCACCGCGAGCAATTCGACTTCAAACGAATTCGGCGAGCCTGGGCGGGTTTGTTCACATCGCGTTCGAAAAATTAATCATTGCCAATTTACAGCCGGGATTAATTTAATTTCCCCCGCTCGCGATAATTTTCGCGTGCTCGCGTGCTCGCAGCCATTCGCGGATCGAATCAACGCGTTCTTCTCATCGGTTTCTGCTGGCTCTGCACCACACGCCGCTCTGTACCACAACTATTTTGTATCCCCCGGCGAACGTGGTAAACTACAGCGTATCACGCCTCGCAGTTTCGCAATCGTAATTCCACGTTTTTTAATCTCAGCTCCCGTGCCGAGGCTGTGGATCTTTATCATTCGCCGAGCTCGCCCCGTGGGTTTCGTTTCTTCGCCAGCCAGCTTGCAATTATCATGGCCGGCTGCTCGGTCAGGTACGACCATAATCTTCCGCTTTTTATCGGTCACGTTGACCCGCGAGCACCGAGAAGCGGGACAGAACGAATTTCACCAAGGTCTGGCCTGGCTCGTGCTCACCACCTTTCATACACGTGTGTTTATGCATATTTATGCGGCTCTCCCCTCCAGCTTGTCCAGCCTCGTGAGAAATAGTGCCTGCAACGACCCTGTTGCAATCTTTCTCTCGCAAGCTTTCGACTTTTTCTTCTCTCCAACCCCCCCTCTCGAAACTTTGTGCGCTTTTTTTCCCCTCTGTTGTTCTTGCATGTGTTGTTTGCCCCTAGATTCCTTTTTTTCCCTCTCTCTCTCTCTCTCTCTCTTTTTTTACAATTCAGCCACGTCAAGACACGGTCGGTCTCTGGTTGATCGTGAATCGTGCTTGCGGTATCCGGCACGTGTAATTCATCATCTACTTATCGTCCTTCTACCGGCCGGTAATGGTCGATTTCGGAAACGATTCTTTCAATTCTGTTTGACACGCGAGCCAAATAGAAGCATTGCATGCTTTCAGACATGTTGTATGCAGAAAAAGAGTTTTGATATATATATATATATATATATATATATATATATATATATATATATATGA